GTAAACAGGGCAGGTTCTTATTAAAATTGTAATTTCTTTCAATTATACTAAGGTCATCTGTTCATCAGGTCTTTGTGGGAAGCAAACTTTCAGAAAAATAATTTCTCCCAGTCACCTTATCAAATCATTCCAGAAGAATCATTTAGAGAACTATCATTGTGAAAATTAAGTGGTGTCATTATGACAGATCAAAGCGTCATACTGATGAGATCCGTTTCAGTCTTTTTCCTCATGCCATGCAGCCTACATGCTCTTATAATTCCAATATTTCTGGGGACGAGGATGGAATTATTATATTTTGTTATAATAAATATCAGATTTAGCAAAGAAACTTTTAGGTCAAGGATCAAATAGTGACTGGATTCAAATACAATGTAAAAATAAAGCCAATATTCACTTACCTTCATGCATAACTAATTTAACAATTTCAACTAGGTTTTTCTAATTTTACATTTATTTCCCTTCATCATACCCAGGTTTCCACTCAGGTGATAATTAAAATAATGACTAATTTGGTTTTGCTATGGGAGGTTTTGAAGGTACTTGGGGTGAGGGAATACTATTCCACGGCCAGAGAACACAGCCAGAGATCTAAGTTGCAGATCAAAAGTCAAGGAAACTGCTCAGAATTCACTCGGTATAGACAGTACCAGGCTGAAACAAGGCCAGAGAGTCCTGTGCTCCATTTTTTACCACTGTCTTAGAGACATTTTCCTCTTTGGGGAGTTAATCTAACCAAAGACATGAAGGCCTTAAATTAAAAACAAAACAAAACAGTTATTCACTGTTATAACAACCGTCTCGGGTGAGCACAGAAAAAACAAAACTACAAATTTTTTTTGAAGATTTTAGAAGTGAGTTTTTAGCTTATCCTGAAATTAATAATATGAACCTGTAGAACACAGATGAAAATACCATTACCTACTCATATACAGATGTAGTACTAAAGTAACTTCATTCTCGTTTTCAAAGTGAGTATCCCGTGACAATAACTGGACTTTTAGTTTTCATGCTATAGTTTGAGAAGCTGTTCTTTGTAACTAAAATGACGGTGGGAAAGAAATTGTAAATTTAAATATGATTCACACTTACACAGTTCCTTTTGTAAAAGAAAAATAGTGAGTACTTGTAACTGACAATATTGTGTGCCATTTCTAATTGGGGAAACTCAGGCACCAAAACATATAGCTTGTCAGGACACAAGAAGCCAAAGTCAGTTACAGAACCTCAAAAACCTAAATCATATTCCCGGCTCCCGAATTAACAAATTCAGCTCTTTATAATATTGTAAATTTTAATATATATATATATATATATATATAGCTTCAAATGAAAGGATAATCCACCATTGCTAACAAATGTCAAGGCTCTGTAGGTTCATGAAAATCTCTTTGGTCTTCCTGGTTATGATCTGACCCACACTGACCAGTGTTCTACAGGAACTAGCTAAGCCCTTCCAACTAGTTCTCCCTATACCAATCACTAAGTTGAGAAAGTACATTGTCTCATGTAATAAACACTTGTGGGGCTCTATAAGATGGTCTTGAATGATTAGGTCATCCAAACTACCTGCCTAACTGACTTCAGAATTTCAACAGTAGAATCAGCTCCCTGAATTCAACAGTTGTTTTGCTGAGATATACAGTCTCAGACTTCACCAGGGTGACATTTTTTCTTTTTGTAATATTGTGCCTGCCATACCTCTCACTTGTGCTTTGTGCTTCTATAAGGTGAAACATGTCTTTGTTTATACTAGTCGTTCCCAAATCTTTACTAAATTATCAACTCAAGCTCCTTTTCCCTTTAATTTCCATAGAATGGTTTCTTGCATTTTTAAAATCTTTTTTCTTGCCTTCAATAATGGCTTGTACAACAGTAAAATTAATACAAAACTTCAAGCCTTTAAAACTGTAGTAAATCAATGCTTAATCTCCTACGGTAGTTCTATAATTCATCCATCCAGTGCTTACGCTATAAGACAGCTGAATTCAGGGCTTGTGAAAGTGATTTCTTTGGTATACAGCACTGGTTCACATTAAGTCAGAGCAGTTATTTTTTTTCCTTCCTCTAAAACACGTGATTTTATTCTGTGTGATATGTTATGCCACTATGTTTCAAATTTTTAGCTTTTTAAACAGTTGAATAGAGAATACTTTTCAACATGAATAATTCAAACTCAAAATCCCATTGACTTAAAAATTGACAGAAGCAAATAAGTCATTACTCATCCCTATTTCTAATGTAGTCCAGAATCATATGCAAACTATATTAAAAATATACACCCTGTGACCAAGAGCTGGCTGCTAAAGGTATGTGAAACTTTCTGGGTTCAAGATTCTTCATGGTCATTTGAATGTCACATTGACAGTATAATGACAGAGATCTCTCTTACAACACAAATTGAAAATTTACTACAGAAAAGAAGTTCTGGCTTGAAGATAAAAGAATGGGTAGGAAATATAGCACAAGGAATTCCTTGGCTACAGAAAAGTCTTAATATTAGTGGTTTCATTTTGGCTTTATACTTTTTTCTGTATTTATTTTAAACATGAAAATTTTTTTTAACAAAGTCGCTATTACTATTGAGTTACCTATGATGGTAAAGAATACCATTTTTTTTTTAACAAGAGAAAACTGGGCATCTGTTTGACAGAAACGAGTACTTCAAGTATATAAGTAAATCATTAACAGAGCTATTATACTCTACACAACAGCAGTAAAAAGAAAGAAAGAGCTAGACTATGCATCTTGCATAAAGATTAATTTCCACAATGTAATAAATAAATGCACTGATTTATACAACGGGTGAAAATCTTCTACTGATGATTACAAGTAATACTGTCCATTACTGATTCTGCTGATATCAGCACTGCCCCACATATAGAAATTTCAAAGGTAAAATGCTTATCCCCAAAGCCACAAAATATACAAAGCTGGTTAGTTATTAAATATTGTTGTTGTCTGCTAAAAGTATTGCAAACTGAAATACAACTTATCAGTCTGAATAACCAGCATGATAATTACTCTGATATAAAAAGATAAGAAAAATTTTAATATGAAAATTAATAAAACCAGTAAAAGGAGAAACCTGTTGTATAAATAGACATTTTTAACATACAAGTGAGACTTCTATCTCACTTATGAGGAAGAAAAACAATTTGATACAGTTTACTTGAAGATTTGAAATTATGTTTTCCCAGCTCTAGATAAATATATTACTCCAATTTATTAGTCATCTTCAATATACAATATATAACTCACAAAACTGGGAATGTTACAATGTCAAAACCTTTCACAGCACTAATTACCAGTTACCAGAACTGTAAGAAATCTTTAGGTACATATTAGCTTAATACTTAAAATACAGAAATAGATATGGCTAAGCTGTGGTAAACAATAGTGCAAACATTGAGGGCCACAAAATACATTTTTTCTTTTAGCTTGTGTATCTAACTGCATTATCCTACTTAATGGCATTATCAACTGAGTATGAAACTCCTTTATTTTAATGTATTTTACAAGGAACCCTATGTTCCCTTATGCTTGGTTAATTTACTCTTGAAATTCATTTCTTATGAAATATGCAGACTATTTATATTCCTATACAATGAAGAACTTGTACTAAAATGAAATACTTAGGCGGAGTTTTTAAATAACCTTTACGTAGTGGCTTGGTTTGTATTTTTCCAACTAAAACTTGGAAGTGTGTAAGAAATTAGGAGAGAATATATAAATATATGCAAATAGAATATCTTAGTTACATAAAAGGAGTTCATCTGTTCACCTATATCATGTAATACAGTATTTATATTAAAATTTGTTACTGAGTTTAATTCAGTCCTAGTTACTCTGTTAAACTTCCTTTCCTAAAAACAACAGAAAGAATTATACAAATAGGTACAGTCCAGCTGTCTTGTATCTCTCTGTTCTCTGTAATGATAATTAAGCCTTTATAGCTTTTTCTTCCACTAGAAATACCCCTAAACAAAACTTGGAAAAAATAATGATGAGAAAACAATAAAGTTAAGGAAAAATTAATGCTTTGTGTATTATCAAAACCAATAACCATCACATTTATAAAGTTTTGGTTTCTTTAGGAAGGTGTCCTATTGCAAAGGCATCATATTGATCATCTGACACAGATTGCTATAAAAAAGCCAATCAGGAGATGCTGTAACAGAAACAAACAAGTTCTGGGCCCCCATCCTGTGTGTGTGTGTGTGTGTGCGTGCATGTGTGTGTGTGTGTAGGGGTGGGGTGGGAGGGCATTGGTGAGGGGGTGGGAGAAGCGCCAAGCACCGTGGAGTGGCTCGGGCAGCTATTCCTGAGAATAAAGAACTCGATGTTTTAAAACTGCCGCTTGCATTACCAAAGTCTAAACCAACGTCTTAGCCAACATGTATCTGAAAGACGTGGGATAAGCCCATTTGGGAGGGACAGGAGAGATCCTAGATGTCAAGGTTGAGAGACTTAATGCTTTTATAGCTTATTGAAAAGCTGTATCCTTTAATGAATTCGCATCTACGTAACATACCGGTAGGAGATAAGAGATGGTTTGCTTTAGAAATGTATACACGTACCCACTATAATAGGCACGAAAATTTTCTAGGTCATAGCTTTGCATGAATATTTCCTTCCTGAATTCCTGTTAAAAATAACTTGCATGAAGACTAAAGTAGTACATTAAAATTAGCTAAAGAATCCCCGGACAATAGTGTTTTGGTAAATTACATCCATATGTAAAATTATGAAATGAAGGATTCCTGACAGTAAACCATTGGGAAAGGTTTTACTACAGAATTAAAAGATTCATATTTTGAGGGTATGATAGATTATGTTTCAGGCACTATTTTAAGGAATTATTAACCATATACAACTCAAGATAAGTTGGTACAACACGGGAACAGATCCTAATCTAGCAAAATATGTCTTCTTTGAGGGCTGTAATGAACATTCACTTGACTTGTGATTATTTTGGTTCTTTCCTCTTTTTTTTTTTTTTTCATGCCTAATGATTCATTTAATATGTACGTGCTGCCATGTGTTCTCAAGCCTGAGCCAGATCAACAGGACAATCTACTGATAAGGAGAAAATGAAAATGTACAAGTTGTAGGAGACTGACCTGGTCAGTCTCAGTACATATCCTTCTCGAATGCTCCCTGTGAGAACATCTGAGAACAAATGAACATACCACCTGAGCAACAAGGTGAGCACACGTGGGGTAAGTGGCTTAAAGGTGGCGTGAGGGGTGAAGAGTGGCCAGCTCACCTGGTCTGCCCATGTCCTGTGTTCTGTCTCAACCATAAAAACATAACCACTGAGTAGGCAGGGTTCGTCTAGAACAGAGTTAGGGATAAGGATTGAGAACAAGACTCAGCTAGTGAAGAATGAGTAACAGCTCATTTCCAGGGTTAATTGGGAAATGGATAGGAAACAGTGGGATGGACAGCAAGTTATCCTGAGGACCTTCTGAAGACCTCCAATCTCTGATTTCCAGGAGTGACAAAATGGATCCAGGCCAGCGCTAATCACCTGAGGAATCTTGCTAAGAGAAGATTCTGATTCAGTAGGCCTGGAGTGGACCGGAGTGTCTGCATTTCTATAAGCTCCCAGGTGAAGCTGACTGCTGCTGGTCCATGGACCACATGTTGAGTAGCAAGGATCTAAGAGTACAGTAGAATTTTTAAATGAAGGAATGTTCTAGATCTGTACTGTCCACTATGGTTACTGAGCACCCGAAGGGTGGCTAGAGCAATGAAGAAAGTGAATTTCTAGTTAGATTAAATTTTAAAAAATAGCCACGTGTGGCTAGTGGCTACCATCAAACAGCACAGATCCAGACATTCACAGGTCACCTCTTCTCAGCTACAGCAATATATACTACAGTCCCCAAATTATCTAAGCCATCAATTCATTTAGATTAGCAAGTATTGTTTTATAAAATGCAAACTGCAAAATTAGATTCTTTAAATTGTTTTCTTCCCAACACTTAGCTAAATGAGCCATAATGTATGCTTGCAGTGACAGAGATGAAAGGGGTAATTTTGTAGTGGGACAACTGATGGCAATGAGAATTTGAGCAGCCATCACTGTACTGGGCATGTGGGCAAACAGAAAGCCAGGAAGTAGGAAGAAACTCACAACGGGAGGTGGAAGGATATGGAAGAGAAACATCGTGTACTCCGAAGTTTTACTTAGGGCTGACCCTGTCCCTCTCCTTCTTGAAAAGTAACTTCTTACTTTGAAAATGAGACATGAAAGGCAGTGGGCATTGGCTGTGATTCTGCTCACCCCCTCCCCAATCATCCAGGTATGGGAAGGCCCTGTGGGGAGGAGAGGGGGTGGATTAGCTGTCAATCAGGTGCAGGCTGGCCTTCTCAACCCAGCTTACACAGAGATCAAAGAAGAAAGGCCTCCACTGCATGCCCCAGAATTGTGCTCAGATCCCTTGGAGAAGCTCTTTCTCCCCTATCCCATAGATTTTTTTGCAGTCCTCATCTACTATAAGACAGGATACCTGGGTGGTACAAACAGTTAACATGCTCAGCTGCTAACTGAAAGACTGGCAATTTGAGTCCACCCAGAGGCACCTTGGAAGAAAGGTCTGGTTATCTACTTTCAAAAAATCAGCTATTGAAAACCCTATGGAGCATAGCTCTATTTCTGACACACATGTGGTTACCATGAGTCAGAATCAACTCAGTGGCAACTGGTTTGGTGTTTTTGTTTTCTTTACCTAGTATAAGAAGTTGGTTCCTCAGTGATGCTGACAGGGGCCTCAGGGGGCTCTGAGGCCACCATCCTGGCACTCAGGTGTGAGTGAAGTGGTCTGGCTCCGACGCAGCCATACCTGGACAGCGCTTCCAGGACAAACTGTTCTCACTTAACAAAAGATACGTCAACATTTTCATCATAAAAGATCTTCCTCATTCAAAAGTCACTTGCAGGAAATTTCTAGCTAATTAAGGATTCAAGTCACTAGGCTTTGGTTAATGATGGTTTTATAGGATATATAAAAGATGTTACATAAGAGCGGAAAGATCAACATCGAACAAAAAATTTCAGTCATTCACATTTTCCTCTTAAATCCTGAACGTATAATAGTTTGAGAATCTTTTCTATGGGCAAATGAGTACTTTTGAGTAGAGGAAATCAGTAATAATTTCAGATTATTTTTTTTCTAGCATCTCTCCGCTCTTTGCCCCACCCACCTTTCCACTTTTGGTAGAGCCAGACAGGGATCTGTGGTATCAGAAAAGTTCAGTTCTCTTCCTTTCCCCTCCCGTCTGAGAATCTGGCACCTCCTACTTTGCTTTAACAGGAAAATGTTCAGAAAAGCAGCTTCAGAAATACAGGGTGGGGACCAAATAAAAGCAGCTAGAAAAGGAGCCTTGAATTCATGGGTGTGGGTAAAATTAAAATTAGTAAATAGTTTATTCCTCCTTTAAACTACTTGATATAATTCCCTTTGGAACATTTCCATTTATTCACAACTCAGACGAGTGAGATACGGTCAGACATATTTGGTCAGGGACCCATCAGTTCTTTTTTTTTTTTTTTAAGAGAGATCCAAATTTTGTGATTTTCTACTGGTTAGTCAAATGCCCAAGTCATGAATAAGAATAAAGCGTCAAATAAATTACATGCCATTTAAAATATCAATATCTCTTTAAATATTTGGCAAATAATTGTTTAGAAAAGACGAATGCAAGCATATCTCAAGATTATATGCATGTAAGCATATATATACACATAAATCTATATGTGTATGTATATATGTGTGTATGTATACATATACACTTATATGTGTATCTATTGAGCACCTAGGAGGCTACTGTATGAAAACTGTCACCACTGGGTCAGTACCCTATTTCTATTATGTAGGATAATTTAAAGCATTGTAACTATTTTGGCATAGAATGTCTAAACAAAGCTTATTTAAGGATTTTTTTGTAACTTTTTGATATGTACACTCTTGGCTTTCAATGATTTGATCATTGTACTTGACTCCTAATGAACAAAACTATGGCACAGACATATGTGCAAAAATTCTTCGATACAGAACATTTATGCAAGCTCCAACATTAAAAAACAGAAAGTGCCTACAGAATAGTGGTTTATAAAAAGAAAATAATATCTACCTCATAAGGTATAAGATTTAAGTGAGATGATGATAATAATGCAAAGCCCTTAAATCTCTTCTGTCGGGAATTCTGTGTCAGAGGTCACTTTAGCTAGTGGGTGACCACTCAGTATGCCCAATCTCAGACCTTGGGGAAGTCCTGGATGTCAGCAGACTACGATATTATAAACACAAACAGAGTATGAAATAATCACTGCAGTGAAATTAAGTGTAAGAACAAAATGTGGGAATTTGGGTTTGGAAAGCTATAGTAAGTTTTGTTAGGCAATGGGGCATGGAGTTTTATGAAAATACCCAGAGAATTTTCTTAATTTGCACACCTATTGTTTATGATTTGTTGCAACACAATTGGCTTACATAGGATGCAAATCATTTGTTGATTATGGCACAGACCCATATTCACCAGTTCTCTGATATAGAATACTTATGCAAAATTCCACATTAAAGAAAAGTGCCCATAGCCAAGAAAATGGTACTTGGGTAGTAATAAATTAAATTCTAATAAAACTGACATTAAAACTGCTGAAGTCTTACAATATTAGATGCGACATGCAAGAAAAAGGAAGACAATTCAGGCAGGAATATTGTGCATTGAGATTTGCATCCATTCATAGCATTTGAGGGGTTTTAACCATAGTCTTCGATCACTGAGTGCTAGGAATCCAAGATGATACCAATCTGACCTTCAAAACAACTGGATGTATCTTAGTTTCCTAACCATTGATGTTACGGAAGAAGCCAATGCCTCCAGCAATGAAACCAAAGAAGTTCCAGCCACGTATTGTTATGTGGCTACATAATAAAAACATTCCATCGGACCAGGTGTAAGAAAGTAGACATTTTGATAATTGTCATTTATCCTTTTAGACAATGCAGTTGTCTCAGATTCCTCCTATCTTTTAACTAAAATGAGCATATCTGAACAAGTCAGGTTTGCATAATAAGACAATGGCTTCATGGAATGTATGTTTCTTTTTTTGCACAAAAAATATTTTCTAACCCTTCAAATCAAAATTTTCACCCACAGTGAAACATCAAGCCATAGAGGTGCTTCAGTGATACTTCCTTGTCTATGCAGAAAACTGCCAAGAACAGCAAATTACTTCCAAGCACTTTGTATTAAGTAGCAATTACTTTTCTTCCAGGGAATAGCACCGATACGATTACACTTCAGACGGGGAAGTGCTCCTTCCAAGCTCTTTAATTCCCTGGAGAATACGCTTCACATGACCCACTTTCGGTATCCCTAGGTCCTGAAAAAGAAAGGAAAAAGAAAAAAAAAAAGGAAGAGAAAGAGAAGAAAAGAAAGGGGGGGGGGCAGTGAGAGAAAAAAAGAAGTTATCAATAAGAGCAAATGCAGATTAAATATAATTAGCATTCAGTTCATCCATTTTACTTTATATGCAATGTTTCAGAAAGTTAAGGCTAGGAAAACACATCTATAAAACAAAAATTATCTGACACAATGAAAAATTACCAACCTGTAAAAAACCACATCCTACACAAATCCTTAACTGAAACGTCCTCATGAATTCTATGCAATGTAGTACTTCAAGAGTCAACACTAATTTAGGTGCACATTTTTTTTTCAAAAACATAGGCCCTTTCTGGGTCTCTGAGAAAACAACCTATGACACCAGGGAAACCACAATCAGTCCTCAGGCAACTATACGTTTTCTGTGCTGAAACATTAAACTTAAAAATGAGGCCAAATCCTTGAGGAAGATAGCAGTGTCTACTACTAAAATTAGAAAGTAAATGCATTTAAAGTTGTACTTAGATTCTCTGAATTGAGGGGGGTATTTAAATATTCTTTATACTTTGTAATGTACATGTGAAAAAAATTACTTAAACATAGGTGTCTGTCGGTTGATGCTTTCCCTTTAACCACTTTTGGCTCCTGCCCTTCAGAACTCTTCTCGTTTCTTAGAGACCTATCCTCCAATAAAAGTACCAAGAATTCAATATTGAACCTTCAAAAATGGATGATGACTGCAGTGTGCAACACACAGCAGGCACTCGTCAAATATCTGTTGAAGGAATGAATGAAACCCATCCAAGGGAGCCATAACATTCATTATCTGAAAAACTAAAAGAAAGGGTTAAGGCCTCCAAACCCTATAGCTTCTTTAAACGTAAGGGGTATAACCAGTTTGTTAATATCTGAAGTCAAAACACCTCTTCACAATACAGTTTGAAATATTTAAAAATTTGTACAAAGATGACTTCCAATGCAGCCTAGAAAACACGATTTTAAGGTACCACAAGCTTATCTGTCCAAGAAGATAACGATTCCAATAATCCACACTGTTTTGTAAATGAAGAGCATTATTTATTTTTAAACTTTTAAATTACATAGATCAAATTGTTTTTTAAGTTGTGTGTGTCTTCTCTCTCTCATATACTTTACGAGCTGTTCTAACTCTAGAGCAGCAATGCTAGTGACGATTCTGAATCCTTCTGAAAAACAGCCAGACAAAAACACCATGTCTTCACCATCTTCTTAGGGATCCTCCATTCTCTCCTACTATCTTGCAGCGGGAAAAACAACGCAGTTTGCTTCTTTGTCCGCTAAAGCACATTGTAAGTATTTTCCCTTTCCCATTTTTAGTCTGCCGCTTGGCTTAACCGCTGCACCACCAGAGCTCCTCTTTGCAGTCTCTAGTTGTTTCAGTAATATAGGAGTTAACTACTTGAGCAAAAAATCTGAGCAGGAGTTAGCCAGGTGAAAAGCAGGGGAGAAATATACCAAAAGAGGGCACACCTCTATGGTGTGAACGAGTTTAGTATTTTTAAGTCAATGAAATAAGGTCAGGGTAGATGGGGCATAGCCCAGCAAAGGGCCAGTGACTCCAAAGGAGGTTGAACAAATAGGCAGAAGCTTGTAGGTCTCGATAAAGATGTAGGTCTTTATTCTAAAAGAATAAAGAAGCCACTGAAGAGTTTTAAGCAGAAAAGTGATATACCTGGTTTATAATTTTAAAATATCACTCTGGTTGCAATGTGGATAATGTATTAGAGAGGGCAAGAGCAGCAGGGGAGAGGCCAGCTAGGACGCTACTGATGTGATACAGGCAAGATGTGATGATAGCTTGGACTAGGATTGTGGGCAGGAGAAGAAGAGAAGTGAATGGAAACTAGAATCAACATGATTTGGTGATGGACTTGATACGTTAAGGGGAGAAGGACAAGGACGAGGAAGGTGTGAAATATGAATCTGGGTTTCTCTGGCTGAGCCTCTGGGACAGAGGGATGATTTCTCCAGATGCAGAGCACAGGGAAAGGCGAAGAATGAGAGTGGGACAGGAAATCAAGGGTTTGGTTGGACACGTTAAGACTGACATCCCTGTGTCATCTCCAAGTACTGAGGAGTCAGTCAGCGACATAATCCTAAATGAGGTCAGGGCTGGAAATACATATTATAGACAGTATGTGAAGTAATGGGAACGGGCGAGATTACCTAGGGGGTAGGTAATCCTTCAACAAACATTAAGAGGTTTTACTCTGAAGGGTCTACCCCTTCTGACAGCTACAACCACAGAGAACAAGGAAGATCATCTTCTAGCTTCATGGTTTTGCGCTACACAAGGTTCTTTCTGTAAAATTACTTTCCTTTTTCCATTTCTCCACATCCGGGTTTAGAACTAAAATAGCTGAAAGAGGACAATGCCTATACAAATTACCAAGAAAAAAACTTTTAAGGGGGAGAATGTAATTTGCATTAAAAATAACAACAGAACAAAAAAGTCCATGAAAAGCTAAAGAAAAAATTTACTAAAATAATTCTTAACCATCTCCTTTTTTACTCTTATTCTACCTTTTTTTTCCCCATACAAAAATTTATACATACATTGTTATGTGACTCTAATTCCTCTCCCCATACTGTGACGGCATAGTCCTCCTTTCCACTCCTGATTCCCCATGTCCATTCAACCAGCTCCTAACCCTCTCTGCTTTCCCATCTCACCTCTGGACAGAGGCTGCCTGTTTAGCCTCTTGTATCTACTTGAGCTAAGCGGCAAAGTCCTCACAAATATCATTTTATGTCCCACAGTCCAGTCCAATCCCTGTCTTAAGAGTTGGCCTCGGAAACTGTTTTAGTTCTGGGATGAGAGAGAATCCAGGGGTTACGCTTTCTGGGGTTCCTCCAGTCTCAGTCAGACCATTAAGTCTGTCTTCGTCTTAGGATTTAAGTTCTGCACCCCACCTTTCTCCTGCTCCATCAGGGACTCTCTGTTGTGTTCCCTGTCAGGGCGGTCACTGGTGGTAGCCGGGCACCATCTAGTTCTTCTGGTCTCAGGCTGATGAAGTCTCTGGTTTATGTGGCCCTTTCTGTCTCTTGGGCTAATACTTTCCTTGTGTCTTTGGTGTTCCTCATTCTCCTTTACTCCAGGTGGCTGGGACTAATCGATGCATCTGAGATGGCTGTTTGCAAGTTTTTAAGACCCCAGATGCCACTCACCAAAGTAGGATGCAGAACATTTTCTTCACAAGCTGTTATGCCAATTGACCTAGATGTCCCCTGAAAGCATGCTGCCCAGACCCCTACCCCTACTACTCTGTCCCTCAGTGTTTGATCGTATTCAGCAAACTTCTTAGCTTTGGTTTAGTCCAGCTGTGCTGACTCCCCCAGTAGTGAATGCTGTCCTTCCCCTCACCTAAGATAATTCTTATCTACTACCATTAAAACATGTTTTCTTCTGTTTAAACCTTTTCTTGAGTTCTTATAATAGTAGTCTTAGACAATATTTGTCCTTCTGTGACTGACTAAATTCACCCAGCATAATGACCTCTAGCTTCTTCCATGTTATAAGATGTTTCATGGCTTCATCGTTTGTTCTTTATCGTTACGTAGTATTCCATTATGTGGATATACCATAATTTGTATATCCATTCAACCGTTGAAGAGCACCTAGGTTGTTTCCATCTTTTTGCTATTGTGAACGGTGCTGCAATGAACATGGGTGTGCATATATCTATTTGTGTGATGGCTCTTATTTCTCTAGGATATATTCCAAGGAGCAGGATAGCTGCACTGTATGCTACTTCTATTTCTAGCTTTTTAAGGAGGTGTAAAATCGATTTCCAAAGTGGTTGTACCATTTTACACTCCCACCAACAGTGTGTAAGTGTTGCAGTCTCTCCACAACCTCTCCAGCATTTATTATTTTTTGTGTTTTGGATTAATGCTAGTCTTGTTGGGGTGAGATGATATCTTACTGTAGTTTTGATCTGCATTTCTCCAATGGTTAATGATTGTGAGCACTTCTTCATGGGTCTGTTAGCCACCTGAATATCTTCTTCGGTGAAGTGCCTGTTCATATCCTTTGCCCATTTTTTAAATGGGTAATTTGTCTTTTTGTTGTTGAGGTTTTCCAGTATCTTGTAGATTTCAGAGATTAGACGCTGATCGGATGTGTCTTAGCCAAAATTTTTTCCCAGTCTGTAGGTTGTCTTCTGACTCTGTTGATGAAGTCTTTTGATGAGTATAAGTGTTTGATTTTTAGGAGCTCCCAGTTATCTGGTTTCTCTTCTGGTGCTTGTGCACTGTTACTTACGGTTCGTATTCCATTTATGCCATGTATTAGGGATCCTAGCGTTATCCCTATTTTTTTCTTCCATGATCTTTATTGTTTCGATTTTATATTTAAGTCCTTGATCCATTTTGAGTTATTTTTTTTCCATACCCTGAGGTATGGGTCTTGTTTTAGATTTTTGCAGATGGATATTCAGTTATGCCAGCACCATTAATTAAAGAGACTGTCTTTTCCCCAATTAACAGATTTTAGGCCCTTGTCAAATATCAGCTGCTCATAGATGGATGAATTTATGTCTGGATTCTCAATTCTGTTCCACTGGTCTATCTATCTGTTGTTGTACCAGTAGCAGGATGTTTTGACTACCATGCTGGTATAATAGTTTCTAAAATCAGGTAGTGTGAGGCCTCCCACTTTGTTGTTCTTCTTAATGTTTACTTATTCGGAGCCTCTTCCCTTTCCACATGAAGTTGGTGGTTTGTTTCTCCGTATCATTAAAAAATGCTGGTGGAATTTGGATCAGGATTGCACTGTATCTGTAAATTGCTTTGGGTAGAATTGACATTTTCACAATGTTGAGTCTACCCTATCCACGAGCACAGTATGTTTTCCACTTATGCAGGTCTCTTTTGGTTTCTTGCAGTAGTGTCTTGTAGTTTTCATTGTACAGCTCTTTTACGTCTCTGGTTAGATTTATTCTTAAGTATTTTATCTTC